CAAAAGTATTGGGACAAATTCACTTACATGTGTATTAAAGTAGTCAAAAGTTAAGTATTTGGTCCGATATTCCTATCACGCAATGATTACATCAAGCTTGTGACTCTACAAACTTGTTGGATGCATTTGCTGTTTGTTCTGGTTGTGTTTCAGATTATTTTGTGCCCAATAGAAATGAATGGTAAATAATGTATTGTGTAATTTTGGAGTCACTTTTATTGTAAATAAGAATGCAACTTATTTCTAAACACTTCTACATTCATATGGATGCTACCATGATTACCGATAGTCCTGAATGAATCGTGAATAATGATGAGTGAGAAAGTCACAGACACACAAATATCATAACCCCCCCCCCCCCCCCCCCCCCCCCCCCCCCCCCCCCCCCCCCCCCCCCCCCCCTAACCTCCCGTTATTGTAATGGTTAGCATGTCTTGGGGGTATGATATTTGGCGTCTGTAACTTTCTCACTCATCATTATTCACGATTCATTCAGGACTATCTGTAATCATGTAGAAGTGTTTAGGAAACATATATGACTTATGTCTAGAAAGGGGCTAGAACATTATAGCTGCTTCTCCAGTATTGACACAGCTGTTATCCAAACTATAGGCTGGCCATGGCAGACGACGGCGGGTCTTTATATTGTGCCACACACCCACTAATGACAGCTTTAGCGGTGGAGGGTAATTCAGGATGGAGGGTTGACTACGGGGTGAGATGTGTTACTCACATCCAGGGTTCCCCAAGGCCTTGCTCTGCCTGCCAGGTTTCCTGCACTGTTGCATTGTGGGCGGGTGAAAGATGGTATGGTATCACTGCTGTCCGAATACTAAAATGGCTCCTCTTTTTTTAAGACCACGGATCTGAGAAGATATAAGAGTAGGTGATGCAGATGTTGTTCGCTGAACCATGCTTGTGTGATGAGTAACAGTGTCTGGCCGAGACCCGATGACTTGTGTTAGCTCTTAAAGGCTTAGCTTGGTGGGTTAATACTATCTGTTGTGGTGTATCATTAAACCACCCAGGTTTAATACTTGGTATGTTACATAAACCAGGGGAAGAATGGAATACACAGCTATAATTGAGCCATTCAACACATACCTCAAGTAATTGTTGTCATGACATACTATCAAAGGTATTTACTCATTCGTCCTCCACCACATACCTCTGCTCTGAGACATTACTCAGTGTTGAAGAAGCACGCCCAAACATTATCAATAGGACCCCAATAAGCCAGTTTATGTTTATAACCTGGCAGTTAAGATAGTGTTTTTGGTAGGTGATAGATAGGTGATAGATATGCAGACACTTCAAAGATCAACAACAAAGGCTCGCTCTCCCACTCCCCTTCTCACCATGCTGTGCTACTAGATGTAGATGGGAACAGTGATCCTGCTCCATTAAGGCTGTGAACCCTTGTAAAAGCCTTGTCCTTGACCCCAACCTGTTCATGTTTCCTGGGCCAGATTAGGGAATGAACCTCACTTATCCTCTACCTCTATGACCTGTGTGTTTTTTGCTGTGTCTGTCACCAACACGACCTCCCACTCACAATAATAAATTCACATTGTTCTGTGTCAAAACTGTATTGCAAATTTAGACAATGGTGTAAGTGATTTTGTCAGCACAGAACCATGGATTATTAGAGCCTATATTTCCCCTTTGTCATGTTTAAATTAAAAGAATACAGTATAATAATATTATTCCTCACTGTGCTATACTCTGACTGTCCTCACCTCCCTATAATATCATAGTCCTTTCAGACAGTTTTGAGCCTTAGTACAATGCAAAATGAATGTACTGCTGGTATGAAGCACTAATGCTGTAGCAAAGTCATTTTTCTCCTCTGCTTGTTGGCTTTACACACTGTGAGCCAACGGAAGGGGATGGTGCTGGTAATTCATGCACACATGTGCCTGCCTGTTCACCCAGTGACAGGCCAGGGGAGGGGCACATGATAAATTGCCTTCCACCGGGGACCTCCATACACAGCCACCATGATGTGGGTGAAAATGGAAATTGCTCCCTTTCACCATCATTACATCAGTTTAGAGCGTTGTGTGTGGGCCTCCACACAGACACACACACATTCATGCACGCATGTACACACACACACACACGTACTCATGCACACAAACAAACTCACATGTACACAAACACACACACACACACACAGAGAAGTTGGGTTTGACAATGGCTGCTGGTGAAACAAGAGGAGAGATCTCTGTAATATGGTATTCAGCTAAATAACCAACGACAGGGTGGATGTGTGTAGCTATCATTCAGAGGCCAAAATCATTTAGAAATACCTAATTCATTCATATTCAAGAACATTTCCAGAGTATAGCTATGTATTTGCATGAGTTATAGATGCAAAGTGGAAACACAAGCATTTGATGGACAGAGGAGCCAATAGATAGAGATGTGTGGCAGTGCTCAATGCTCTAGGGCTGTTGCTCTCTATTGTAGCCTGTCACTTCAGACACACCCACTGTGTGTGACTTCTCGCCTTTCACACAGAATTAAGGAAATGGTACGTTGCGCCTAACACCAGTTTGTGCCGGTATAGAGGAGAATATCTGGCCTTAGCTTGAAGCTATTCTCAGCTAGCTACACTGACAGTTAAGAACAGGAATAAAAGATGTATAAGCCTGTCAACTATATATTCAGACACAACATATTTGTGTTTGATAAGGGTGGCACAAGACCTTAACAATATATTTTATTAAATGAAAACAACTAAACTTCTGATTGAATTCCAGTTTCAATTCAAAGTTTCCCAATTATGCAATTTAAAACATGAATGAATCATGTGGACTTGTAGGGTTAACCCATTAGCTATTGGTATTTGAGTAATATAACATTTCTTGATTGCAACATTTTATTGCTATCTCGGGCATAGGCCCATTTCGTAGGCCTGGTGTGGAAATATTCAGTGAAAAGCAATACCTGTATGCCGAATGCGGTAGCCATTTTTTATCTGATAAATGCAATAATCAAGGCATGATTAATTACTGTACTAATAGGCTGTGTCTATAACCATGCTATTTAATATTGTGTGGCCTTAAACTTAGCAAAAAAGGCAGCTAGGCTACACTTTTATAACATTTCCATTACGGAGCAGAGAAACAGTTAGCCCTATAGGCCAGCTGTTGATGAATTTCAATATGAAAAAATACCACGAAACTGCAAACCTGTTTAAATCCAAGTTATGAATCGGCCTACAATGCATTGTTTTTATATTTATAAATTAGTTCGCTTTTTAATTATATTATAGGCCTGATTTAGCTCAGGCCTTGTAACGCCAAGGTAGTGGGTTCGATCGCCGGGACCACCCATACACAAAAAAATTATGCACGCATGACTAAGTCGCTTTGGATAAAAGCGTCTGCTAAATGGCATATTATTTTTTATTTTATTTATAATATTCGTTAGTTTAAACTATAGATCATGGCATTTTGAAGTGGTCTACAACTTTCTGAACTCTGGAACACAATCATCTGACACTAGTTAAGACAAATATTCCTTTAAATCTTTGAGAATCACTCACCAATGTTGTCTCTAAAATCAGTCGTTTTCAACCAACTATATTCAAGTTGGGCCAAAGTGGAAATAGATTATAGAAAGAGGCATTCTAAAAATCAGTTATGCGCAACATTCATAAGTAGTCCTTACAACTTTATTCCCTTAGGCCTATGCATTGAAAAGGCATTTTAGAGTTTTCCCTTCTGTTTTTAGTAGGCTATGCTATATTCAAAACTAATGCATCTTAAATGACTAGTGAATAGAGACAATATATTATAAATTCAATGTACATAGATCAGCAAATAGCCTAAACGCATTTCAAAAGGAGGCGCTCTCGGTTTGTTGCCGTGGGAACCATTAACCAGGCAATGTCGAGATATAATTTTCGTGCATCATCAAATATTGAAGTTAGGGTTAAAACTATATTTAGCCAACAAGACTTATTTGGAAATCACCTGCTTAAATCACTACAGAAATAAATGTCAAAGCTCATCCTCAATCAACAATTATTAACATGCTTTGATGGATGTATCCCGTTTTAGAATACGCACACATGGCTCGCGCACACACCACCATTAAGTTCAGCTACATTAGTGTTGAAATAATTTTCGACCTAAATTGCATTCGAAGTTGTGTTTAGTTTTAAAAGCCTATCGTTTTTCAACCATTTAAATTAGGCCTATTTAGTTTAGAAACAATGGATCATGCTAAAAATAGCATTTAGCCTACCCTATAGATATAATGTTCTAAAAACGAAGCCTACTCATAAATAACATTTACATTTTAGTCATTTAGCAGACGCTCTTATCCAGAGCGACTTACAGTTAGTGAGTGCATACATTTTTCAATAACGTTCTAGTATATTCTGTATAGGCAACCAGTTAATAAGATTAACTTCCCAATCAGCACATTTCATAATGTCCATTTAAAATGTTAATGAACCCAGAAATTGTTTAATGAAATAGCATGTTAAAAATGTAGATCTTGTTGTTATAATCATAAAAGGAGGCACACGGAAATATGGAACAGAATTGTTTCTTATTTTTCCAGAATACATACAAAAAAAAAATTAACAATTCTCTTTCCATGGTATACACCTGAAAAATAACAATTTAAAATGATGTGGACAATTTGGGATTTTAAGAAACAAACATGCATGTAAATAATTCTCAATGAGACATTAAATAAGAACAATACAATCATAGCAATTTCAAATGAACATCGAAATGAAAACCCTTATTTTAGCCTATTAGTATTCTACCATGTGTTTTCACTTTACCTATAGAGTTCGGTTTAAACATAATGCACTTTGAGTCTCTCAAATGTCTTCCATTTGTAGCTATTATCATCCGCTTTCAGCCGACATAAATAAATACCGAGTCCACGGATCCCGCCCATAGGTGGAGCGATGATATAAAAGTCTTTATATTTGCATTTTTATAACTATAAACTTTTCAAAAGTCAAGTGTGTTTCACTGGTATCCCAGCGCTGACGCTGTGGTGAGTCTCTGGCCGTACAGTGCATAGGGGGAGTAGTATGGCCCGGTGGCTGCGGGGACAGGGACAGGGGCTCCGGTAGGCAGGGGGCTCTTGGAGTACGGATGGTAACGGCTGCTTAGTCCCAACGCGTGATGCGGACTCCTCAGCGTCAGTGTCCCAGGGCTTCCAGGGCCTCCTGACTGTGGCATGTGCATGTGGCATGCCATCGCAGCAGCCGCAGCACTAGCTAACGATGAGGAATTAGGGTAACCCGATATCAACTTCTCCGCCCCGGTGAAGGCGGTGTGCGTCCGCAGGTGGTTCAGCAGCTCCTCGGAAGAGGAGAAACGCTTGTCGCAGGGTCCGTTCGCTGACACCCAGTTACAGACGTGAGGAAGGGGGTCGTTGGGGAGCATGAAACCGTAGGGGTACAAAGGATGTCCACTGAAAGATTGCGGAGAGGAGTGCATGCCGTGTAAAAGGTGTGTCGGGTACATGTGGTGGTACCCGGATTTCATCGCGTTGGCTGCCGCGGCAGCTGCGTTGTCGTGGCACTGCTGCGAGGCACTGGCAGCGCCCGCTAAGTGGCTGGCACAATGGTAACTTAAGCAGTAAGGGTCTCTACACAGGCTGGCTGACATGATGGAGGGTGGAGAGGCCCCGGCCAGCGGGCTGGATCCGGCCTTACTGCAGCCCATGCTGGCCAGCTGTGCGTTAACCAGGCTCCCGCCGTGAGGGAGGAAGTGTTGGGGATAACCAGCATAGGCCCCTAAACTCCCGGGGTAGTGCATGCCAGCAGGCGGCAGGGGAAAAACTGTCTGACCCGGTTTGTAAGGAGAGACCGGGGCTACAAGTCCTGACCCGAGTCCGGAAGCAGAGGAAACGGAGGTTAGAGAGGAGGATTCAGAAGACGGGGCTTTGGACCCAGGCGTTGTCTCCTGGTGTTGGTTCACCTCCACGTTAATTCCACCGCAACTCACGCTTATCCTGCTGTGGCTGTTAGTGGATCCAGATCCGTCTGTTGTGCCATTTTTATTACAATCTGAATCTTTCTTGTCCTCCCTGTCGCCACACTTCCCCTCTGACGGCATGGGCGAGGCAGAAGTGCTAGAGTTGGGGCTGCCTGTCCGTGGCGTGAACGGCTGACAGGTGGCGCTCGGCACTCGGAAACCAGTCTTCTCTCCACTCGAGACGCCCGAGGACGAGTCCTTCTTATCTGACGGTTTCGAATAGGGTTTGAAGCTGGATTTGTCATCCACACCGATGTCACTCATTTTTAATGGACCGGATTTGGACTCCTTGTCACTAGATCCATTTGATGTAATAGAGGATAGTTTGGAGGAGGGAGGGGGGTCAGGTTTACCGATTTGAGAGCATGTCTGCGCCAGCAGTGCCAACGGACTCTTCTTAGCATCTAGCTGTAGAGAAAACAAGACCTATATTTACAAATCGAGCACTGAAAAAATATATACAAACAATAGGACTTTTGGTCGAAATGCAACCACAAACGGAATGTCCGAGCCCTTCTCCAAAAGAATTGTGCGCAATGCGCAGCTTTTACGCGAGAATAGCCGTGCTTACGAGTAGACTTAAGATTCCCATTTCCTAAAATCATAACAGTTTCCTTTACCAGTCATCTTTATAACAGAATAACCCACATTTCCACTACGATATAATAAATATATGTTTTTTTTAAATGCTATTCCATGTGTTACATTCCGGGATAACCATTTCTATGAGTAATTCTAACAAAACAAACATGAAACTTTTAACCATTAATTCTACTAGTCTTTCTGAAATCTTACCTCAATAGGGCTAATCGGGGTAGATGGTAACGGTTGAAGATACTCTGGGTGCAAAATGTGTCCTGATCGTGCCGTAAGCATTTTCAAAATCTTGATGGGGACTCGGTTAGTTTGCCGTAGATGGTCCGACGGGGGAACGGAGTGAAGAAAAGGCTTGTTGATGATATTCCGAGAGTCGATGCTCTCCCAGACTAGATGAGTACTACTATTTCTCAGAGCAGACACCGAGGGCGATGTGATCATGTCCCAATTCTCACGAAATTAGTCGGTAATGCATTTATCAGATTCATCAAGAAAAGCAAATACAACCTCTTTCGAAAATCAAGAGTGTGATATTGCGTGTAATAATCCGTATAATGTGAGGAAACGAAGAAGGTGCGGTTGGTAAGCAGGAAGGAGTGTGAGTGCGAGGTTATCGCGGATCCGTGGCTGCGTCTTGCACCATGGGCATAGCGCGTTCTGTGTCTCCCGGCTTGTCCGCGCTCTATACTCCCGAAGTACGAACTGGTAGAAATGTTCACTTCAAAAGCACCTGAATTAGTCCGAGATTAAAGCCTTTGCCGCCTTCCAATCAAATGGGACCCCGAGGTGATTGGAGGGTCAAGGGGATGTGACGTTGCCTCTTTCTAAGCGCCTCTATATTGACAGCTCCGGGGAGGAGATAGTGAGGAGGAATAGTTGGGTTGTTGTGTGCGCTCTCACCATCCTCGAGGCAGGGCTTGTTTTGGTTTTTCAGTGTCTGAAAAAGGATGTAGACCCAAGTCTGGAAATAGTAGTCTTTCTGGCATTTTCAAAACAGTGAAGGCATTTGGCTGTAAAGGTAGGCGATGTGGTAATGGTAATTACTGGAAGGCACATAGCCTACATGATATTTAGGAGATGGGAAATGTATTAATGAAACTATAGCCTGCATTAAATAGACTAATTATTCGTTTGTTCTCTAGAGACTAATGCACTAATAAGCATTGTATTTGGCACCTTTTGAGCTATATTACCAAGATCTTGAATCAATCAATGCAAGCCTGTATTTTAGTTTCCATACACTTTCCTATACGAATTATATCCCACAACCAGAAGATCAACTACTTCAGATTGAATTCCCCAATCAGACAAGCGTTGACAGGAACAGACCAATGCAGTGATGGAGGGATGTGAATGTCACATGTTTTCAGTATAATATACACCGCCCTTCTATTTCTATCTTCACGCCTCCGTCAACTGTCAATTCTGCTCCACCGCAATCAATCAGTTATTTGTCAGGGGCTGTCAATCCGGCCTTGATTCATGTCAGCTATTGTAGATGATTACATGCGAGCGTGGCTGCATGGGGAAAAGGACAAATGGGAAGAGAGAGAGGCATCTGAGAAAAGAGACACTTAATTTGGACGAAATAAATCATCCTCGTGTTAAATTAAATTACTATAAGCATCGACAATAGGCAGACGGCGACGCGCTAGACTATGCCACTTCTCCAGATTTCTCCATAACCTATAGTGTCCATGGAATTTAGGACGGTATTTGCAAATTAATAAGGATTTTGAGCAGAAAATTATAGGACGAGGCTAACCACATTGTATAAGGACTGACGCAAACAAAGCGAACAAAGATCCGGCTCTGTCGCAGATTCACTGGACTAAATTTAGGTTTTTAAACTGTTTTCCCTTCCTGTCAAATACTTCAAACAAGGAAGGTGTCCCAAACGGCTCTTAAGACGCCATTGACTTTTAGTGCTGGGACGTTTGTTAATTTGTCAGAAATAGTTAAAAGTCTACTATTATATTCCTGCCTAAGGACATTAATTGGTAGGCCCTAATGGACTTAACTAAGTTTATATAAATTCAAGTTTATGGCTAATATTAGCCTACATTTCAATTTAATAATGTAATTAGCTTGAACTGGTTAAAATAAAGTAAGAAAAAGGCACATTTGTGTTTCTGTTTCTTTATGCCCCATTCCTTCTGACTAGAACGTGTTTTTAAATGACAATCTAGCAGTGTTGCTTAGTAAGCTATATGGGAGAATGTTTAAAACTTAGAATAACAACACAGTTAGTGGGGGGCAAAGTTCCCCATAACAAAGTCACTCTGGGCAGGTGCAGAGCTTATCCTACACATGTAAACATGTAGCCTAAGTTTCACATTTACTGAGTGAAACATAATGGCCTGGGTTTTCAGCAAATACAAACAATAACCACTTTCCCGCATAGATGCAAACGTTTCTCTACACGTATCATAAAAACCTGCCATTTGCCTCTGGCACATGGTTATCTCCCCAATAAAATGACAAAGAAAAGGGAACAAAAAACTAGTCCAGACATTTTATATTTATGTCAACTCGATTTTATTTAGGCCGACATACAATGAAAATGATTTATTTTATTTAAGAGGGAGAAAAGAGGGGTGACTGAAAGAGAAAATAAAAGAGAAATTGTGTGTCAGAGTGCTGAGAAAATAAGTTTAAAATGTCTTGAACTATTCACTGCTGAGATGGCTAATCAGTATTGAGGCTCGGGGGCAATCGGGTAGCCTTTCAATGCGGGGCCTCCTTTCATCTCAATCAGAATGGAGGCGCTCAATTAAAAGCCTATCAGTTTGTAAGTAAATCAACGCCTATCAAAGTTGTCACTTCAAACAAAACGATTATTATTGCAACCCGCCTCTACCATTAATCTCTCTCTGCGGTAATCCGCTTGACAGGTCATTGGAGAGCAAGAAAACCTGGAGTGGACGGTCACAGGGGGCAGAAAAACTGCAGGAAAAGTAAATACATTTATTTTAGGCCTTCAAAGAATTGAGGGACACTGGTTGACAGGCGATAGGAAAACTATAGGATATAATATTTGAAGTTATATGATAGCCTAATTGGACGTTTTTTGGGAAGCAAAAAATTAAAAATAGAACCAGAGTGTAAAATATGTAGGCTACATAATTGTTAGTTTAACCATATATAGGAATTATAGACAGAAATATTACATGTTGTGAATTATTTTTACTAAAGTGTCACTTTTAACATTGGCCTATAGGCCTAGTCACACGAAACTCAACTTCTTGTAGCCTTTTCATATAGGCCTAATGGCTAGCATTACATGATAGCAGTTTTATAATATAAACTGCTATCATATCAATGTTTTATATTTTGAGGCTTAGAATTTAAAGGCTATATCTACAATTAATTTACATTGTAGCCTAATGTATTTTACATGTAATATGATGCATAACCTACAATGGCATATTCTTTTGATTTATTATTAACATTTTAGGACATAATATTTTACTGAGTGTAATTTGTGAATGCCTTCCTCATTACCCTGTGTGCACAAAACTGTCATTAATATTTAACTGTAGCCTGACAAGTTACACCATAAAAACATAAATCAATTAAATTACATTGCGACATTTATTTTGGTAGTCATAGGCCTACAAAGTGGAAACTAACTAAGCAAGAAAGTGTCTGACAAATATTTATTTTTTCATGAACCTGAAATGCTGTGGACTTTAAAGGAAAACAAGAATGAGCAAACGGCCCTTTCTTTCTGTTCCTCCAAATGTTGAGTCTGTCAGGTAAAAAAGGGAGGGAAAGTTTCACAATATGCAAAGATATGTGATTGATAACAGCAGCCTAGCTGTTTTCTGCAAGGGCTGTCAGCCCGTGACACAATATGTGAGTTATTAGGGCAAAGAAGGGCAACCATAAATTCCCAGCGTCAGGCGAAACCCCTCTATTGTCCGTATGACGAATGAGCTTCTACACCAGACACCAAATACTCAGTATTACCCTTAAATGGGAACACATTTTTCGTGGCCATAATTCATGATATTTAAACAGAACGTTTTAAATGTCCCCATATATTTCATAACGGCGACATGTTTATGAATCACTCCCTAGATGTAAATATAATTATTTACAGCAGAACGGGAGTAGGCTAGCTTGGGCTGTGTGTTGGACTTTCAGCTTTGCACTATAGGAATAAAGCACTTGGGATATGCCTCTTTAGCAGAGGTGCGACAGCGAGGGCAACATAACAAATATTATATTAAATTGGGTTTAGAATTAGATTTAACATTTTATAGAGGGAGTCTTTAAATTATACAAGCCTCTCTGAATAACATAATTTAATACTTTAAAAATGAAAAACGTTAAATACGTTTTCAATTACGCACGGTCAGCGATTGTGCTTTTTTGGTGTGTGTAATGACTTACACACTTTTCTGTGGTAGGCTAGTCAAGCAAATAGGCTATCTCACCACCCATTATTTTGCCTATAGCCTACCATGGACACCTCCCAAAGCGATGTGTTTTATCATAGCTTCTTCTGTCAATGGAAATACAATAAATAAGGATTATCTTCCAAGAAAAAGCATGCACGGTAGAGAACAGAGCTACACATTTTTATCAGAGGGAAAGGGTGAAAAAGAGCGCAAAGAACCACGTTACCTGACATAAAGGCTAACAACAACATGTTCCGAAGTGAAACGACAGATCTGTGAAAACACTGCGCAAACGTAATCCTTTGTTAACCAATGTTGCAATGCACATATCACTCCATGCATTTATCAGTTACATTGTTACAATACGTTATAATGGGACATAGTAGGCTACAAATGTAACGACAGGCGCGCGTGTGTTTCCAGCAGTGGAGCCTCAAGAGCTCGAACTGGGCAGAGCAGATAGAGGATTTTCCGCGTCTGGGAGGTTCTAAAATTACGTCACTAACATACCCTCTGAATCACCATCATGGATAGCTCGGGTCCACGGTCCGCTCAATGGGTCCACCTGTGTAGGAGTTTTGTTATTACAAGAAGCGATTATACCTCTTTATGAATTAAAGTAGGCTAGGCCTATATAGAAGCCATTTTGACCTGCTTATGTGCTCATACCCTATATATACAAAAGTATGTGGACATCACTTCAAATTAGTGGATTTGGCTATTTCAGCCACACCAGTTGCTGACAGGGTATAAAATCGAGCACACCGCCATGCAATCTCCATAGACAAACATTGGCAGTAGAATGGCCTTACTGAAGAGCTCAGTGATATTCAATGTGGCACTGTCATAGGAGGCCACCTTTCCAACAAGTCAGTTCATCAAATTTCTGCCCTGCTAGAGCTGCCCCTGTCAACGGTAAGTGCTGTTATTGTGAAGTGGAAACGTCTAGGAGCAACAACAGCTCAGCCGCGAAGTGGTAGGCCACACAAGCTCACAGAACGGGACCGCAGAGTGCTGAAGCTCATAGCGTGTAAA